TTTACCTACATTTTTTTTAGTTGGTGACGGTTCTATAAGGATTTATTCAGTCCAGTGTTGATACCCGTTCTGTGCATTTCTTATTGCACCTGTACCTGTACCGCTTCTCGGCCTTTTGGCTAAGATCAAGTGTAGTATCTGTTCTTATCAGTGTCCAGTGGGGGTGCTCCCGGCCATTCTAGCTTTGCGGGGATGGCTGTTGTATAGTACCCTCACTGGTATGATGGGGGTCCGGAAGGCTAGTACCGGAGGGACAGAAACCGGGGAGCGCCACACGTTAAGCTGGGGCCCTGGGAGTAATTCCTCCGGGAAAACTGGAAAGATCCAGTACCTCCTGATTTGAACGGATCTACCTTGGTCTGGCCAGGAGCTGAGGAGGCAGAAAGTCTGCAAACACGGTGCCCCCTGAGTAGACGCTCTCAGGGGTGCCACTAGTAACACCTGGGTGTGGGACCCCACTGTGTGAACATGGCACATGGTCACTGTTTTTACATTCTTTTTGCACAGCGCCCTAAGGACCAGGCCTTTTGGCTAAGTCCAGGGCAATTTTTGCTACGGGCCTCAGGGCCTGGTCTGTGCACAATTTGGCACGGTACCACTTTTTTTTTTATATTTATTTAATTTAACACCTCCCACATTTGTCACTTTTTCTTTGCTTATGCGTGTGTTTTCACTGGATGGTAGGGTGTGGGTCCTCGGGCCTACCCTGAAGTCTAGGGGGAGGATGTGTGGCCTTTTGGTTCCTTCCTCCCCTGATCCCTAGGGGACTCTTCTTCGGGGGAGTCCCCTGACCAAGTACTGAGTGTCTGGCTTCGGCTGGACACAAGGAAAGGTGGTCCACCAGGCCTTTTGGCCAGGAGGACCAATTGGGAAACCTTGTCCCCGTCAGGAGCTTCGTGCCCCGGGGGATCAGGGTAAGCGGTCCAAGCCCCTTTAGGGGTAGGACACAAGCACACCCCTAAGTGCACTTTGTCGTGTGGTGTTTTGCACTTGCACTTTTTTTGTGATTCACTTACGGGTTTTTTCGTTGTAGTTTGCACGTTTGCGGACTTAAAAAAAAACCTGTACCTGTCCCAAGCTATGTGCAGGCAGCCTTTAGAGGTGGATGCAGATGTAGCGACTGCAAGGTCTTTCGGCTATATTGTGATCAAGAGGTGGAAGGGTAATTGCCTGGTTAGGGTAATTGCCATTTAGAGTTATGTTGCTCATTGTTATATTTTGTATTCATTTTTATTTGATATGATAGGTCAATTTTTTTGCTGGGGATATTTTTAAAAAATTTTACAGAAGAGTGCAAAATCTGGTGCATAGAAACCAATCAGCTTCCAGGTTTTATTGTCAAAGGATTGACTACCATGCACAGCTGCACCAGATTCTGAGTGCTCCAGTTTTAATAAATCTACCCCTGTGTGTTATATCTATGTATTGAATTGACTAATATATACGGACCCATTTCGTTAAGATCATTTTTTGTCACTTTCCTTTGCTAAATACAGAAAAAAAACATAAACTATGAAAAGCCACATGTGTTACAAGGACTGTGCACAGTTTTCACATTTAAAGCTGAACTCTAACATACAGTTAAATACACAGGATTTGTATTTCTATCCTTCCAGTCCTGAGACTACACAATTTTGCCACATAGCACAACCCAATGTGGTGGGGCAGAAGACCTGACTTTTCTCTGTTCCAGTTAAATAACACTTACAGGTCTTGTCCCTCCCCCAACCTGTGACTGGACAGTGAAAGAAGAAGCAGCAGACTGATAGGCTGTCGGTCACACTCTGCTCTCTCCTGCTATAAGCATGTTCCTTAGCACAGGGACACTGCAGCACAATAGGTTTACATGTTGTACTGCTTATCCCAGTCCCTGACTCTTGCTGTGCAGGAGACTGCAAAAGGCTGATACCATAGTCCGGTATTTACACTGCTTGCTTTAAAAACATTTAAAGTGTATGTAAACCCTAAATCTGTTTTTCAGTGTGTTTGACATCATGTCTCACTATACGGTGGTATGAAAAAGACTAGTTTTGTAACACGCCAACAGATGGCAGCACAAGGCTGCACACACAGTCACAGGGAGCACTGGCCTTCATAAGTCAGTGTGCCAAAAGACATCATCCTGTGTACATTGGGAGCTGTGCAACTGGTGCTATTCTGACCAAGTGCGTTACTATGTCTGCTATATCATCATGGACAACAAGTTAGAACAAACTTGGATTTCTGCTTGAAACTGGACAAATCTGCCACAGAGACATGGGACATGATTCAGCAGGTTTAAGGCTTTGCTGCAATGAGTCATTCAAAACGTTTTGAGTGGCGTGTGCACTTCAAGAACACCACTGGAAGACGACAAGACATCAGGAAGACCTTCAATGGTCTCAACCACCGAAAATGTTATGACCATTCGACAACTTGTGCATGATGATAATCGGAGAACAGTACATAATATTACTGCCATTGTCGGTGTTTCATACGGAACAGTCCAAGCACATGTGATTTGAACATGCACCCTGTTACTGCCAAGTTTGTTCCCAGGCTGCTGACCCAGGAGCAGAAGGGACACCAAGTCGACGTCTGCCAAGAACTCTGTCAGTGAGCTGTGGATGACCTCTCCTTCATATCGAGGATCATCACCGGAGAGAAAACTTGGGTGTATGGGTTTCACACAGACTGTCAAATTTACTTTTTGTTCTAACTTACTGTCCTTGATGAAATAGCAGGCATGGTAACGCACATGGTCAGAATAGCACCAGTTACACAGCTCCCAATGTATACCGAACAATGTCTTTTGGCAAACTGACTTATGAAGATCAGTGCTCCCTGTGACTATGCATGCAGCCTTGTGCTGCCATCCGTTGGTGTGTGTTACAAAACTAGTCTCAAAACTTTTCAACAACAAATAATTGTTTGTGAATCTGCTGCAATGTTCTTACCTGGGGATCATGCCAGTAAACAGCATTTCCTGCATCAGGCTGACAATGCTAAAACTGCCTAGCAGTTTGTAGTTTGCTAGTCAACCTCCTGTGTGCACATTTTAACTTGGCCATGGGGCTGCATATCAGGTCTATTAGATAGGCAGCCCAGTTTCAAAAAAGCAACATGTATCTTAGGCTGGCCATACACTATACAATTTTCTGTCCAATTTCTGCCCAATTTTCTTTAGATTTACCTTCACCTATGTAGTGCAAGGTGTGATGATCGTGGCGTCAGACTCCAGGCCTTCTCACCAAACTCGTGACCGAAGGACTAGCCAATCTAAAACTGCGCTGTCACGTGCGTAACAATGCCACGCCCAGCCGCACCCTGCACAACGATTTTTCAGCTAATGGACCACAATCGATGTACCTGCAGCCTGAGCGCGATTGTTACTGGGTCAGGTTAAGTACGCAATTAACCCTTCACACTGCCACCACCTCCTTTTTGTACAGAGAAAGAGGAAACTTGGCAATATCAGCAATAACACTATGATGGTTGAAATAATCGTCTGTATATCACTGTCACTGCAGACAGGTTATACAGAGGGTTAAATACACACAGTAGCGCTCTTCAGCGGCAGGAATACATAATTTGCATTAAAGAGCTACGAAACAGTTCAACACTTTCAGAAAGTAAGATTTATTACTAAAAGGTCAAAAGGGTGCAATAAAAATATTTACAGAAAAAGATGTAGCTAATATACATATAAATATACAGAGAACAATAGCACAGCAAAGAGATAACAGAAAGGAATTTAGAGGGTTAAAGTACTTGCCAGTCAGCCTTGGTTTAAGCAGCTTCAAGTTTCATAAGCCAAAAGGATTTTTCTTGTCTCTCACTGTCAGTTTCGATGTTAAAAACAGGAGACCTTCTTTTTTCTCCCTTAACTCAGCTTAGCTTTTCTAGTATCTCCACCGGGTGCCTCCCTGGAGCAGTAAACCAATCGTCTCCTTTTGGGGAGGGAAGTGTAGGTGGAGCCCTAAGTTATGACTAGAAACTCTCAAAGCTGCTATTATGATTCATAACTCATTCTCAGGGCATTTGGCAGCCTGGGCACTAGTATATTAATACTCAGCAGCATCCTATATATTCCAGTTAGGGAATGTAATATACCAAACAATTTGTATTAACTTAACCAATCTGACGATATGCATGGTTTTTTATGTAAGTCTCTCATATTCCAAGATATGAAATCATAGGGCAAAATAGATGTTGAATGTGGTGTCTTGTTTTATGCCTTTTCTGGAATGTATTTGAACTCCCGTGAAGGACTTGGTTTTACGCTTTTACGATATCCCAGATTGCACAGCTACGAGACAGCTAGGCCCCAGCTCCGTTGGGGGTTTCATAGCTCGGAGCTCTCCTTCTGTGCCTGGTTTGCCTGTGACCTCTGTTATCACAGCCACATGCCACTCAACAGCGAGGGAGGGGGGATGAGTGGAGGAGAAAGCCTGCTTTGGGAGGGAGAGAGATGAGACAACATGGAAGGGTTCTTAACAAAATGGAGGACTGAGTCCATCTCTGTGGGCACGATTGCTACACAAGGGCCTGCCTAATTGGATTCAATTGAAAGTGTTGTTTAGGTTTGACCTCATATTATATGGTTTTTGGTAAACCTAAAGCAAAATTCTCAACAAATTTGTATAATTTGTGGCCAGCCTTAAACTGACAACACTGCTCGTTGCAAAGCAGTTGCTTAGTTTTGTCAGCTTGCAACAAGAAGTGTGGTTACCGTCAGGAGCTCCAGGTGAGAAACTTCACAACAGATTTTCAAAACATGAATTGATTAAGAACAAAATATAGAGTAAGGCATTAAGCCAAGCAAACTGAAAAATGAAGGTTTTATATAAACTTTATTGATGGATTAATGAATCCAGAGATGTATTACATTGTGTTTTCTCTATTTCCTGGGAGTTCAGCTCTAAAGACCAAGTTTTGCTGTTAGTGTTTTCCAATGATCTAACATAAATTTCTAAAATTCTTAGCAGTCACACTTTCTCTTTTATTGCATTTTTTTGCAGTGGTTTGGATAGTGCATCCTGTTTCCAGGTGGTGTCACTGCTGAGCTCTTTAGCACAAGGCGGTCGTACTATCATTTGCACCATACATCAACCAAGTGCCAAACTGTTTGAAATGTTTGACAAGGTGCGTAGCTGTATTCTTTCATACTTCTTATATATGTGTTAGCTGCTGCTGCAGTCAGGTTAGTGATTTTCATTTCCATTTGTAATCTTTGTGATTTCTGTGTTTTCAGTTGTATATTCTCAGTCAGGGTCAGTGCATATATCGAGGGTCTGTAACTCACCTTATTCCATATCTGAAGGGATTAGGATTACACTGCCCAACCTACCACAACCCTGCGGACTTCAGTAAGTTATACTCAGGCTTTTCTATAATAGGGCCAAGAGTAATAGGCAAAGTGCAGTAGCCCATAACACCCATACAGGGTCAATTGTCTAAGGGTTTATTTACACCAGTCAGCGCACATTATAGTGTGCATAAAAGTCGTGCTGGTGTGAATTGCGCACCAGTGCTGCAAAGTATTTTACTTTTTTTGTGCTTTTTTATTTATCATTACCAGAAAAAATACATTTATCTCTATTGCATTTTTTTGCAACACCAACCCACTTGTATGGTGTGAACAAAGCACAGAGAAAACAGTTGTTCTTATGTTACGTCTGTGATGATCAACACAACTCAACACACCTGGTGTGAATGAGCCCTAAATCTGGTTGCTATGGGTTTCTGAACTTCATTCACCCTAAACTGCCTTAATGCAAAGTTTTACAGTTTTATATATATAATTATTGTTGTGCGCTCTTAGTATCTGGCTAAGCCTGTTCATTTTTACCATCTAGTTATTGAAATAGCCTCAGGGGAGTATGGAGACCTAAATCCGGTGTTATTCCGAGCAGTGGAAGATGGACTGTGCCCGATCCACAGGGAAAAGAGTAAACCATCTATTATAGAACTAGACATAGGTCCCACAGTAAGTATATATACTCACACACAAAACACTACTCAATACAAGTGCCGCATGATGCTGTAAAAAAGATAAAGCCTTGCAAGCTGCAAGAAGGTTGAAAAGGATAGAACTCCCCCACATCTATAGTGAACATGTTGGGGGTTATTTACTAAAATTAGAGAGTGCAAAATCTGGTGCAGGTCTGCATAGAAATCAATCAGCTTCCAGGTTTTATTGTCAAAGCTTAATTGAACAAGCTGGAGCTAGAAGCTAATTGACTACCATGCACTGCTGCACCAGATTCTGAGAGCTCCGGTTTTAGTAAATCTCCCCCACTGCAACCATTTAATGCATCGGTGTGTATTGATCACCATAATAAAATCCAATTTCATGAAAAACAGATTATAGGGCCATTAAGTAGTGGATGTGTAGTGATTATTTTTGGAGACTAGGAATATTGTTTAATATCACTTTAACATATTAAGCACTTGCCCTCCGGAAGATTTACCCCCTTAATGAACAGGCCCTTTTTTGCTATTCAGCACTGCGCTATTTCAACTGGTAATTGCGCGGTTATGCAATGCTGTACCCAAATGAAATTTATGTCCTTTTTTTTCCCACAAATAGAACTTTCTTTTGGTGGTACTTGATCACCAATGGGGTTTTTTATTTTTTGTGATAAAAGCAAAAAAAGACAGAAAATTTTGAAGAAAAACTGTATTTTTTACTTTCGGCTATAAAAAATATATAGTAAACTCAAAGTTAGTCATAAATTTAGGCCAAAATGTATTCTTCTACAGTGTATATTGATTGCTTTGTGTGAAAGTTATAGCGTCTAAAAAACTATGGTATAGATAATGGAATTTACACCATTTTTTGCTATACAGCGCTGCACTAGTTTAACTGACAATTGCACAGTCATGCAATATGGTACATAAATGAAATTTATGTCCTTTTTTCACACAAACAGAGCTTTCTTTTGGTGGTATTTGATCACCTGTGTGCTTTTTTATTTTTGGCGCTGTAAACAAAGAAAGACAGAAAATTTAAAAAACAATATTTTCTCATTTCTGTCATAAAAAAATATCCAAAAAAACTCAAATTTCGCAATAAATTTAGGCCAAAATGTATTCTGCTACATGTTTTTGGTTAAAAAAATCCCAATAAGTGTATATATATATCACATTTCTTGAGGTGCTAAAATACCAGGACAAAAAGGGGTCGTTTTGGGGGGGGTGGGGGCATTTTATGCCCAGCATTAGAAGTTTATGCCACACATCATTCACTCTTCTAACCACCTGAAGACCAAGCCTTTTCTGACACTTTTTGTTCAAATGAAAAAAATCAGTATTTTTTGCTAGGAAATTAATTTAAACCCCCGAACATTCTATATTTTTTTAAAGCAGACACCCTAGTGAATAAAATGGTGGGTACTACAATTTTTTGTGACACAAAGTACTATATTGTGTTTTTGTGCATTACTTTTAATGCACAAAAACACAATATATTGGCCAATTATTTGGGAAAATATAAAAGATGATGGTATGCCGAGTAAATAGATACCAAACATGACATGCTTTAAAACTGCGCATGCCCCGTGCAATGGCAACAAACTGCATACATTTTTAATATCCATAGGCAACACTTTAAAAGCCTTTAAAAGTTACCATTTTAGATTTACAGAGGAGGTCTAGTGTTAGAATTACTGCCCTTTATCTGACGTTCACGGTGATACCTTACATGTATGGCGCAACCGCTGTTTACATACCGGCACAGGATCAATGCTTGTGCACACAGGTGTGCGCACGTGGGAGGGGGCGAGTTTTTTTTTTTTTATTATTTATTATTTTTATTTATTTATTATTTTTACACTGTACCATTCATTCTTAGGTATCCCCGATGGTGTGGGACTGCCCGAGATGGCCGTGGAAGGCAGTGGGGGAGGGGGGCATCATCTCCCGCTGCTTGTAAAAGCAATCCTGCAGCTAATTAGCCACTAGTATTGCTTTTACATGAAAGCCGATTGCTGGATGAAAAAAATGATACCATGATGATTAGAGATGAGCGAAGTATTCAAAATTCGATTCGACTGATTCGGCGAATTCGTGGAAAAATTTCGATTCGAGTCGAATATATTCGCTGTGAATTTAACTTAAAAAAGGGTGTTTCTAGGCTTCAGAGAGACTTAATATTAGTGCTGAACACTGTACCTTTAATTTAAAAGTGTGGGAGACCTGAAAATGGCACATGGGAGAGTTGGGGATAGAGACAGAAACAAAAGGGAGGCCACAGGGACCCATGAACACTTCCCCGGGGCCTTTGGGAGCAGCATGAGGAGGCCCGGGACAGGGGCCCAAGGCCGATTACGGGGCCCGGCAGCAGCAGGGGGAGGAACGGAAAGGGGGGGCCCTGGAGAAATTTGGGCCTGGGAAACAGCAAGGGGGGGCCGACAGGGACCCCTGACACACTTTTGGACCTGGGGCAGCATGGGGAGGGGGTAAGGGGCCCCTGACGATTAGGGCCCGGCAGCCATGAGGAGTCGGGACGGGGGCCCCTGACCCCACTCCCGGACCTGGGGAGCCTTAAAGGGGCGGTACAGGGGCGCATACAGATTACGAGCCTGGCAGCAGCACCCTTTGGGCAAGGCGTTCAGCCCTTTTTGCACCGTCCCGGGGGCGTGCTTTTCAAACTGTTGTCTCTTGGAAAAAAGGATTCCCGAAAGATGCTGACGGGGAAACCTGAAGAGGAGAAGCAGGAGAAGGGGCAACTGAACAGGGAATTTTGCCAACCCAAACGACAACGGGGCCCCTGGGCAGATTACGGGCCCCGGGACAGCAAAGAGGGGTCGGACGGGGGCCCAGGCAGATTGGGGCCTGGCAGGGACTATGGGGGGCCCCAAAACTGCCAGCACCCAAAGGGCAAAAAATTGGGAAAAACCCCCACAGGGGGTGGGAGACTAAAGTGGCACATGGCAGAGTGTGGCGATGGAGCAGCGCAATGGGAGGCCGTACAGGGGCCCCGAAGACTTGGACCGGCAGCAGCTGGGGGAGGGCGGTTTTAAAAGGGGGGCCCTGGCAGATTAGGGGCCTGGCACAGCTATGGGGGGCCCTAATCTGGGCCCGCACCCTATGACAAAAAAAAAAAATAACCAAACAGTGTGAGGAGACCTGAAATGGACATGGCGATGTGGGCATGGGGCGCACAATGGGAGGCCCTAAGGGACCCAAGAGAGACTTGGACTTGGCAAACAGCATGAAAGGGGGGCGGTTTTAGGGGCCCATGGGAGAAATTTGGGGTGGGGCCCGGCAGAGTATGGGAGGCCCCTTTTCTGCCGCAAAAAATGACAAAAAATGTAACCCCCAGCAGTGTGAGGAGATGAAAATGGGACATGTTTGGGGGAAAGATTTCCTGGCGGTTTTGTCAGTTTT